TCTTAGAGTAAAACCTATCCTTGAGTCACTACCAGGATTCCGCACTTCAATGTATATATATGCCAACGGCATTCCCCCTAATTTAAGCATCCTATTTCACATTAAGGAACAGTAGCGGCTCCGTACAGTATGCATATTGACTTTGTCAGTTCTCAGCTTAGATAAAGAGCCTCATACTTTTCTCGAAGATATTTAGTGGAAAGAAGGAATAGCGTCCTGATGCATAATAAAATTTCAATACTACATTGCATGAAGGAACTGGTTCATGAACACCCTCCATAAATAAATGTACATACTTCCATTAATAATTACATTAACGCGCTGAAATAAAATATATTAATTAAGAGTTATGATATCCTCTCTATTTCCTAATAATCAGATTTAAACCGGATGTCACTATTCTTCATACTTAAACGACAGTTGCCTTTATGTAATGCTATGGATAATAGTTTATACACAACATAATTAACAAGTACTGGAGAGATTATCGATAATGAGGCTTCGTCTCCTCCTATACTATCATTATAGTGGAGAATTCGTTTTAGTAAAAGGAACGTACCCCAGGAGATTCTTTCAACGCACTGAGGGTCTCTTATATTCTTATCTAAACGGGAGAGGTGCCCATTTCTTCCCTTAGGGTGTGGTGCATTCTTCCTCTAAATTTCTTTCTAATTTTCATATAATCCTTCTTCCATGCGCATACCGGTAGCTATACCAACTGAATATCGCAAATTGACAACCAATAGAAAACATTTAAAAGATTCTTATCACAGATTGGGGACACAACTTCTTGCAGGTTAATAATAAGCATGCTAACAGCCATCTCGCGGCTAATTATCTCCGTTCTTGTTCGAAGTAGTAGCAATAAATTACTGATAGCTTTGTGATTTGAAACCTAAGAAATCAGCCGAATAATGTCTCAACAATTCGGGTATACAATATAATATATAATAGTCATAAATATAATTTTATAGAAAAAGCATGTTTATTCAGACTGCACACAACATTAACACAGAACGGTAATCCAGAAATTCCAATATAAACGATGGATTGTCCGCGATGACATTATCATCGGCATATATTGTATGTATAAGTAAAAACTCTCTCAATTTCGTCTGA